TATTGTGACCAAATCTTAAGACTGGACTGCACCACAGGGTTTTTTTTTGTATAAGGATAAGGGTTAAATGGAAGAGGAGAGGTCAGTAAAACCTCCAGTGAGGAGGTACACAATATGTGCTCTAATTTGCACCATAAAAGTTATTTTGATTGCGTCCAGTAAGTCAGTTTGTGAATGTGGGCAGACCAATAGTAAAATAAAAAATTTGGGAAAGGTAGACCCCCATCAAATGTAAGTCTCTGTAACAATCACCTTGAAATGTTTCCCTCYCCACAAGAACACGGTGACAATCTGGTGCAATCTGGGCTTCTGTCCCGTTAGCAGTGAGGGGAGGCAGGTACAGTCGTGAATGAGGAGGTTTGAGCAAAGGAAAATTGATTTCACATACTAAGTCTATATTTGCACGTCACTGAAGAGGTGTATTCTACATTCAGCAATGGTGAAAATGGGAGTTTCAATGTTTTATTTATTTATTTTAATAAAATGAATGAAATTGCCACCTATCGCCTCTTATTGCAAAAGTTGCTCCCACAATAACCAGCTTTCCCTGTGTGTTGCTAGTTCCTGCAGTGCTGCATCGAAAAGTGTTCCCCATGAAACAATGCTGGCAGACAACAGTACCATTCCAAACGTGTTCAGGCTATTTAATGCTGGTATTTGGAAAATTCATAACAAAAAAAAATATGTTTTTTGGTACGAACCTGTATACTGCTCAGCTCTAACTGAAACAGTTCTCAGCCAAGTGTGAAACAGCTGGGATGAGGATCAAGGACCTCCAAATATAAGGCCATGGTCCTCAGTCGGAAAAAGGTGGATTGCTGTCTCCGGGTGGGGGGTGAGGTTCTGCCTCAAGTGGAGGAGTCCAAGTATGTTGGGATTTTGTTAACGAATTTAGGGAAGAATGGAGCGAGAGATTGATTGGTGGATTACAGAGTCTGTACCAGTCTGCTGAGAGGGAGCTGAGCTGTAAGCAGAAGCTCTCTGTTGACCGCTTGGTCTACGTTCCTGCCCTCATTTATGGCCATGAACTTTGGGTAGTGACAGAGAGAATAAGGTCATGAATACAGGCGGTCAAAATGAGTTTTCTCTGCTGAGTAACTGGACTCTCCCTTAGCGATAGGGTGAGAAGTTCAGTTCTCCAGGAGAGATTTATGGTGCGTTCACACCAAACGTGATTTCAGCATCAGGAGCAGCAGGTTTACATACAAAGTCTATGATGGACGCGCTTCAAGCAGCGTCGGGAAGTGCTGCGGCGCCTCAAGAACGATTAGAGCAGCGCGATTTGAACGATTTGAACGATCTGAGCGTTCGACACGTTTGATGCGCAAATCGCTGAAGTTAGAAAATCTGAACTTTTGCAGCTTGACGCGCCGCGTCAACCAATCAGAGAGACTCCACTGTGTGACGTAGAGACATATTTCCCGACGGGACAGTTTACTGAATGATGTCCACTAACCTGAAACAGATGGAGAGAAGCTCTTTAGCTGAAATGAGTGCTGCAGTCGGTGTCCTGACAGAGATATCCTCACCAATGCGTGGCAGCGACTCATCAGATTGGACTCAAAAATAGTCCTGAAAGCGAGCTGTGAGCCTCTACTGTAGCTCCTGGGTGATGAAACTCAGAATGTCTCTGAATTATCTGGTGAATTAATTATGAATTAATTATCTGATGAACGTGACATGCTCTTGCTCTCTGTAAATAAAGCAAAGCCACTTCCTGGTCCGACATTAAACAGAGCCCGACAGAGGAGGGAGGGGCGGGGGGGCTCTTCCCGTGCAGCGCTTCAAGAGCTGAACTGCGTCTGACCTCAAAGTGCACAAGCTTCAAACTTCAGCGTTGGCTGCGATTTTGAAGCTGAAATCGCGTTCGGTGTGAACACAGCATCAGAGTGACACTATGCTGCGTCTCCACAGAGGAGTCAGTTGAGGTTGTTCATCTGGAAAGGATGCCTAGGCAGGTCCGACTGAGAGAGACCGGGGGAAGACCCAGGACACGCTGAATAGATATGGACTGGCCTAGGAACACCTTGGAATCATCTCAGAAGAGGTGGCTATGGAAAAAGAGGTCTGGGCCTCCCTGCTCAAGCTGCTGCCCCTCGTGACCCAGCTCTGGATAAAGTGGAGGATGGATGGAGGTCACATCAGTACATCCATCAATCACTAGTTCAGGAGTCAGGTACGTCATAGGGCAACATCTTCAGGTCTTTGCTTGTTTGTTTTTACAGGTTGTGAAAGACATCATGCAAGCCCTGGTTGTGAAACCATCTTAATAGCTGATTGGCTCAGGGTTTGTGCACACTTACATTACAGGTACTTCCTGGTAGCTGAGTGGCTCTGTGGTCTTGTCAAATCCCAAGCCCCCATGTGAGTATATGTGCCCTGTTCTCTACGACTTCCCCAGACTGGTCTGATCATGCTATAACTTTGTAATAAACTGTCACAAAAGACAATTTTCTGGTCAAGTTCTTGAGTCCACATTTATTTTGGAAAATAACAGACGGTTCCATTCAGGATGGCCACCAGAATCACAAAAATGCTCATAACTCAATAAGTTTTATAGATATTCAACCATTTGTTGCAGCAGTAGCTTCAGATTCATTCCCAACACACAACTAAGCATTAACTAATGAAGCAAAAATTTATTTTAAAACTTTGTCGTTATTTAAAGCCTGTCAGAAAGTATCACACGAAACACTTGATAAATGAAACTTTCAGAAAACAATCATTGGGAGTACAACTAAGTTTTGGAGTCTAAATACTAACAGCTTTTTATATCATGTCTATGACTCAATGAATTTGACAAACATTAAAATAAATTTTGGTGTCGTAGCTGAGCATCATCTTCAGCAGACTTCAAGCACAAATTGTGCAATATGTTTACTTAAAACATTAGCAATAACTTTTGAATGCAAAATATAGCAGTACGTCAGTATTTTTATCTGTCTTTTTGAACATTTTCTTCAAATATATTAAATTGCTTGGATATTCCTTGAAATATAATGGCAGATACGCATCTTTAAGTTGTTTTAGGACTTTACCAGATTTTCCCCTTTTAAAATTTTATTTAATTTTACAACAGTTGCATTTTGTTCACATTGAGGTTGTAAGTTCTAATCATTTTACTGGGCTAATGCATATCTACTAATGAAACTCAAAAAGTAATCATTTAAATACCTTTGGAGTCAATCCACACCAAGCCACCAATCAACATTAACCAATAAAAAAAACAGTCCTGTATTTTACAGATAGACTATGAGCTAAATAGCTGAAAGCCACCACTATGGTATTCCTTGAGCACTAATAATACGACAGACAAGCTCTCACAAAATGGAGATCACCATTTATGAGCTTTAACAAATAAGATAAAACTAAATTCAGTGGGCAACATGTATTCCTTCAAGCATTGCTGGGTTTGTAATTTGTGACCCATCACATCGAAACGAGGATTAAGTTAAAAGTTGTATGTGGAGAAATAGGCAGATGTAGGGTTTTGATTAAAATGCTTGCAAAAATTACATTTTGTCAAAAATATAACAAATGTGCTATCAATGTATCGGTCTTCTGGACGGGTTCTTCTCTAATGAAACGTTTCGTCTCTCCTCCAACAGACTTCTTCAGTCTGAGAGTTTCAGGCTAAATTCAGACTTTTAAGCACTGCCTCCATGTGACTGATACATCACATCACATGGCTATTGTTGACACCTAATTAACACCTATTGTTAACAGGGGGTGGAGTGATACTGGCAATAGCCACGCTGTAGGAGGGGGACAACTGAAAACGGAGGCCTCCACCTCTGTTTAATGATGGACGGTCTTTCTTCACAAAAATGKCTTCTTTTACTCCTCTCTCAAACCAACGTTCCTCTCTATCAAGAATGAGAACATCCTCATCTCTGAAAGAGTGACCGCTGGCCTGTAAATGAGTGAAAACTGCAGAGTTCTGGCCATTAGATGTAGCTCGTCTGTGTTGGGACATTCTTTTGAACAGTGGCTGCTTTGTTTCCCCGATGTATAACTGGTCGCAGTCCTCCTGGCACTTAACGGCATATACAATATTGCTCTGTTTGTGCCGGGGCACCGGATCTTTGGGGTGAACCAGCCTTTGCCGTAATGTGTTTTGGGGTTTGAAAGCTACTGGGACATCATGTTTAGAAAATAAACGTCTCAGTTTCTCCGAAACACCCGCAACATACGGAATAACCACTGGTTTGGGTCTGGGTTTGGGGTCTTCATTTTCACCTGAAGGTTGCATGGAGTCCTGTCTGTGTTTCCTGTCTGCTTTCAGGAAAGCCCTGAAAATTACCTGATTTTTTACCTGGATTACTGAGATGCATCAGGATATCAATGCATCATTTCAATGAACTATCTGAAATATTATTCTAAAAAATTTTTGAAGCACTTTTTTGAACGTTAGCAACCAAAAACCAGATTTTGCGGAAAAAGGCCTTAAAATGTTGAGATTTTTCCTGTGAGCTTTCAACGCTTTTGTTTCTTTCCAGCTGGGAAATCTCAATATTCAAAAACTATTTGAGGTTTCCTTTTTTTCAAACGACATAAAAAAAAACCTCATTAAAATGACATAAAATTAGGATTTAGACCAAATATTTATGTATTATTGTAACCAACAAGACAAATTAAATAATATCTCTGGATCTACTAAAGATATCAGGATGATCTAAATATCAAAATGTAGCTTTTAAAGCCAGGAATAGGAAAATATGATTAGGTCATTTTGACCAAATTTGACTTAATCCTCATTTTGATATGATGGGTCACATTTTGCTTTGAATCTTGCCACATTTTGTGAAAAAATAAGAAAATAATGATATCAGTTCAAATATGTTACATATATAAAATAAAAATGTTTATTTGTTCGTATTTTAGTTCAGTTGGAGCTACTCAGAGCAGTGTCTATGATGGTGTGATTTACAGGGAGCACCTGAACGCAGCACAGAGCCGGTCGTTGCTCCGGTGTCGCCCTCCTCGGTCGGCGGAAGCGCTGTTTCGTCCCAAGCCTCGGGAAGAAGACGGGCTCGGCTCGGTTCGGCCCGGCCGGAGGTGGAGTCAGTCTGTCGGTGGGGAGGGATAAGAAAGGGGAGAGGAGGAAAACGGCAGATATTACAGGACCGGGGAGGGGGGGAAGGACGGTGTATGACTGAAAAGTGACATTACGGCTAATTAACGAGCTGCGGTGAAGAGGAACGGAACAAGATGATAGCGCCTTACTTCCTGGAAAATTTCTGGGTACGTTTGTTTTGCTTTATTTCTCATGCAGTTTCCGCCGGTGCTACTACAGCTCATTATGAAACATGTTCATGTCAGCTCGGGATCGAGTATTATTCAGGTCGCAGAGGTGGACCTCCGGCTCTCTGGCTCGGTTCGGTTTAAGGGACCGGTACCGCCACACTAACCGGCGAGCAACCCCAGCGGCCGTCGGTATTTTTCCTGGGGTTAGCTTACCCCGGGGTTCGGGCCTCGGTGAACCGATCTAACTAACATGACAGCATTCAAAGTCCTGCCTTGCTTCCGTTAATTGGCTACGTCTGGATTACTTGGAATGTTTACGGTCAGCTCCTCGAATGCTATTGGACGCCTCAGCTGTCGATCAAAACATTTCGTTGTATACGTAATTTTCTTCCGTAAAGAGTTTCCGTGAGCCCAGATGTTGAGTTAGTTAAAAAAAAAAAAAAAAAAACAACAACCTGCTATAGTTTCATGTTTTACAGCTGCTGGTGTTGGTATTATAATGATTATAGAGCTGTTAAAGCTAAAGTTGTATTTAAGATGTTTCAGGGAAGAAAAATAAAATCTATATTTGAATTTATTTCACGTTTTAAAACCCAAGTTCATAAAGAACATAAAGTTGGAATAAACAAGTAAGATGTTCTGTAATAATTGGTTTACCCTCTTTATCTTTTATGTTTTGTAAAATAACTGTGTTATTGAAGCATTGCGAGTTATTCGTTAACATTTCAGTTTTGACTCGGATAATAAAAGTCCCAGAGACTTGTGACCTCAACTGTTGCTGTCAGCCATTACATTTTAATTGTCACTTATTTGTGATCACTGTTATGGCAAATGTGCACGTGTTCATGTGTTGGTCTTTTAAACTTAATTTTTAAAATGTAATGAATGGATGTACATCTGGAACTGACGAACATTTGTAGTGAAACACATTCAAGTTGACCCATGGCCGGTTGATCTAGAAAAAAAAAAAGCAAAAAAAAAAAAAAACCCTCAGCTTTCAGTCATTTTACAGATATTGAGCTCTAACGTAACTTGTGAGATCTCAAAATATTGCATGAGATTGTGCATGTGATTTATATATATA